AAACACACAGTTGCAGGAGCATTTAAATATAGAATCGGCAATATGCTAAGGGGTTAGAGAACTTCAGATTTAACACAGAATCATGTAACTTAAGGATAGCCAACTATTTTGCACAGAGAGGTTCATGCCAGAAATCAGAGAAACATAAGTAAGGAAGGGCCACATTGGGGTATATTGGGAGGGGGAATAACCTTTTTTAAACATGATGAGTCTAAGGGAGGGGAGATATTCAGAAGCATGATGATGAAGTGATGAAGTAAACATATTAATTTCAAGTTGAACAACAGAACCATAAGTGAAAACATACTAGAAACAGGATGAAATAAAGCAGTAAAAGAAACATATTGTTTTGAAACTTGAATTGAAATCAGAACATACTAGTAAAGAAGATAGTAAACACAAAGTGAGGGACAAGAGACTAGAATAATTAGCCTTGGCTTGCAGCCAACTAACTTAAAACAATAGCAAGTAACCAGAGAAAAGAGAGCAGAAGAATGTTTTTTCCTTTGGTATAAGAGAGAGTTTTGAACTAATGTGTTCGTGTCTGTAATGTAAAGAGAAGAGGGTATATATAATAGTTTGAAAGTCAGGTCAATAAGGCAAGAATCAATTATCCAGAAATTATAGAACTACAGAATAAATTAAGAAACAAAAATCAGCCAAGTCTCCTTTAATTAAGGGAGTAATTTACCAACGGTAAAGACAAATAAGGAAAGAGATCACATAAGACTGGAACACAGCACATAAGAAAATATTTTGAGGCATAGTAAGTATAGAACAAGTAATTAGGCTAGGTTCAGAAAATCTAATTAATGAAAGTACTTAAGAACCAACTGACAGCATAATCGACCGAAAATAAGGCAAGAAAACATCTTTGATGTTGAAAAATCAGCAAGGAAATCATCACAAAAGATTAGTGATGAGCATCAATTAGGAATTCAAATAGGAGTAGTGATGATTAATGGAAATTAACACATATTGCTGTAAATAAACGAAATATTCATAGTATAGGCAAGAGGGAATAAATCATAAACCCTAATAAGCATACTCAAGTAAAAATCTCATAAAGTCAAGAATTCAGCTAGAAAAGAAATAGTACTGACTAGAGGAATTAGCACAAATTCTTTTAATAAATAGAAAAAACATAGTGTGGGCGGAAGAAGCAAAATTAGATACCCTAATGAGCATAATAGGGTAAAAATAATTGAAACATAGAACATATTCATGAATAACGGACATGCGAGCAAATTAAACGAACAAATAAGCAAGGACAGTTCTCAGAACCCAGGATTAAGACCAAAATAATTAGGTTTTCAACATGATAAATCAGATGAAAGGGAAAAACTTAAGGAACTGTTTAAACATAGTAAGAATCATAGAATAATACCAGAAAATTAGAGGGAAAGTCATTTTGAGAAAGGGTTAAGAAACCCTAGTTTGAAGATGAAAAGATGTTTTTGAAATAATTTGGAGAGATTCTTAAGAAAACAGTAAAGATAACTCTGAAAACTCTTAGATCTGTTACAGATCTAAGATGCCAACAGATAAAATTAGGGTTTGAGAGAGAGATAACCCAGATATGGAGAGATTCCGATTAGAAGCCATGGATCTAGCCGGAAAAAAAGAAAGATCTTACACGGACAGCCATGGACCGCCTGAGAATGACTTAGAAACCATGCGAGTGGACCGCCTTCTGTTTCCTTTGAGGACCTCAAGGAAGCAACAAATGGCATAGGAAGAGCGCCATGGAGGCTAGGGGTGGTGATCGAACCTCCATTGTTACCGGCGAGCCAACGGCCGGTGAGAGGAGCTAGGTTTAGCAGAGAGGATTTTGAGAGAGGTTAGAGATATAATGGCAGAGAGGGTGAGAGCAAATGAGAGGATGGGAATGAGGGTTTGGGGTGTAGTCTTTAGGTTAATTATGGTATGGGGGATCTGGACCGTTGATTAGAATTGATCAACGGTCCAGATTGGACCAGGAATTGAGAAGGGTAGAATTTAGGTTTGGGCCTGGGTATTAGGTTGATTTAATTGGGGTTTTGGGGTAGTTTAGTTGGGTTATAATCGAAATAAAATGGGGCTATTTGTTAAATACCTAATTAAATTGAATAAAATAATTTATAAACTGGCTAATAATTATACAAAATGAATAATATGCATAGAAAAATAGTTTAAAATGATTACTTAGTATTTAAAAATACAAATGCTTAATTTTCGGTCAATAAATGATATAAAATCATATGATTGGGCTATAATTGCAAAGTTATTGAAATTATAGCCAAAATATGTCAATTTGGCTAATTATGAAATAATTCGGTTTACATAGGACCATACATAATAAATTAGATCAAGAGATGCTTTTGAAATCATTTCTAATGTAATTTTGTAATTATTTATTGGGAATAAAATGCTAGATAAATTAATAAAAATATAAAAAAAATTATATAAAATTACCAATTGTTATTAATGCATGATGTTGAAGGTATATATGCAATTTTAAAATATTTTGGGGAAAAATTGGGTATCAACAGCGACCTACACATATCTATTTATACTTATTCGCAACCTTTCTTCAACCTGCTTACACCATAGATTTCCTTATGTTATTCCGGAACATCAAGCAAGATACCACATAGCACTTTGGTCAAAGATGCTTAGAAGAGAAGAAAATTTCGTTAAAAGTTTCTTGTAATAACCTGCCAAAAGAAGCTACGAACCTTCATCAGTGTTGTGGGTCTAGGCAAAGTCTTCACTACCTTAGTCTCTTGTGTATCCACTCGGATGTCTTTACCCGAAATAATATTCCCAAGGAAAGTTACAGAGTTCAACCAGAATTAATACTTTAGGAAAATTTTGCATACAACTTCCCTTCTTGTAGAATTCTGAGCACAATACGCAGATGATCTACATGCTCAGCCTCTGAATGAGAATATACCAATATATCATCAATAAATACAATTACGAATAGATCTAAAAAAAGGCCTGAACACACGGTTCATCAAATCCATGAATACTGTTGGGCCATTGGTCAGACCAAACGACATAACCCAAAACTCAAAGTGCCCATATCTAGTCCTGAATGCAGTCTTCGGAATATCTTCATCCTTAACCCTTACCTGATGGTACCCAGACCTCAAGTCTATCTTTGGAAAACACTTGGCACCTTGTAGCTGATCAAATAGATCATCAATTCTCGGGAGCGGGTACTTATTCTTGATCGTCACCTTATTTAGTTGCATATAATCAATACACATTCGTAAGGAACCATCTTTCTTTCTCATAAACAACATAGGTGCTCCCCGTGGTGACGTACTAGGTCTGATAAAACCTTTTTCAATCAAGTCCCATAGTTGTTCCTTTAACCTTTTTCAGCTCTGCGGGGGCCATTCTATAGGGGTATAGATATTGGATGAGTATCTGGTAGTAGGTCGATGACAAACTCAATTTATCGCTCTTGCAGAAGACCCGGAAGCTCATTAGGAAAAATATCGGGAAACTCATTCACCACAGGGATGGACTAAATGGTTGGTAACTCTACTTCCATATCCTGAACCCGAACTAAATGATAAATACAACCCTTATTAATCATCTTCCGTACCATCTCCTTTGGCGAAGATTCAATTCCTTTTGTTTGAAGATGTACTGGAGGCTCTTATGATCCATATAGATATCAACATGAATGCCATACAATTAGTGACTCCACATCTTTAGTGCATTAATCACCACAGCTAACTCTAAATCGTAGGTCGAGAAGTTCTTCTCGTGCTTTCTTAGTTGTCTAGAAGCATAAGCCACAACCTTACCATGCTGCATCAGCACACAACCCAATCCAGTGCTTGAAGCATCGCAATAGATAACATAACCATCGGTCCCATCTAGAAGCGTTATAACTGGTGCTGAAGTTAACTTGTCCTCTAAGTCCTGGTAAACTCCGTTCGCAAGCATTGGTCCATTGAAAACTAACTCCCTTCTGAGTTAACTTACATGGTTATCCTAATCTTGTATAATTCAGGAAATTTCACTCTTCGGAGGCCCAAACTTCATCTTCTATTCCTCACAATTGCGCCAGTATCCTATTATTAGGGCAACATTTCATCTATTCTAAACGTTATTAGTCTTAGACTCATTTGGGTTTATTCAGGCTATACTGAGCCTTCTATAACTTAGAGGAATCATCAACTCTCTTATGAACTTATTCCCAAGAACCTATCCATTCTTGTCACCTTTTTACTCATCTTTTCTTATCCTTCCTCCTGCCTTCCTAGAACCTTGTCGCTCTACCATACTTTAGCTTGCGATTGTCGCGCCCCCTTTTTCTCGCGAAATCAAGTTTATGACATTTTGGTTCGGACAACTCTTCCTTTTAGAAAGGGGGTTTTCATTTTTGAAGAGTCGCTACCTAACGATTTAAAGTGCGTTTGGGCACCTATAAGGTTTATTTATAACTACGTTTGGTAACTAGAGATCGGGTAAGGGCTTGAAATTATCCTAAGGGGAAGGTGTTAGGCACCCCTTTGGATCCACTAGTGTGGTTCCCGGCCAAACAGTTTTTGTGAATTTGTACAATTAGCAAATAAACAAGTGTGGCTCAAATAGTAGGGGATTTAAGTTTAAATACACAGGTGTTTGAAAAACAATTAATGAAAAGCAAGATTTTTGAAAAGAATTACAATCTAAGCATATTTGGGAATGTAAGGGGGTATCATAGGTTTGTTTATAATATGGATCAGTTCAATGCAGTACCCGGTATGACACTCCTCAAAGAGGGGCTACATGTGGTATTAACGCACCGGTCATCATATCCATATATAAAACAGGCTCTCCTGGGGACTGAAATTAAACCATCATTAACCTACACTTGATGTTAGCATAACAAAAGGCCAACCAATCCATACCCATTATAATATCAAGTTCTACCCAACCGAACACCACGTACCTTATCCTTATTTATTATCATGTCTATAACGGGCCATTACAGCGACATCCATATGTATAAGTAATAATATTAAGACTTAACTTGCATAACTAATTTAGAAAAAAAGGGTTTATATACATGCGGGTCGACTAAGTCGTAGGCATATCATACCCAAAACTATATACAAGATAGTGTCTGCAAAACCTCTAAGTAGGCATAGCCATAATATATACAAGTCGGGATGAGGCTCCCAACATCCTCATAAAACAACCAAACATAATTAGAACCCTGACTTGGTAACATTTCAAGAAGTGGTGGAACTCATCAACCAAAAACTGACACTTGGAGAAAGTCTATAATAGAGGGTCCTTGCCTCGTCCTATATAAGAACCTCGATCGGACACACTTCAATGCGGAATATTCATGTCCTTGTTAGTTACCTTCCTCCTCTTGTCCCAACTACTATCTTCTTCCTCTGCGTATCCCATAACATACACTGACGAACCTTGATTGACAGACTCCCAAGATCGTGGACTATCCGGAACCTCAGAAGAGCTGGTGTCCTCAAATACCTTGACATAGTTTTGAGCCTGAGGGAATCCCGACTGTGCCAATCCATGCACTACTCCCCTCATACCCTGATCAACGAGCTGTGAAACTAAGGGCCTTGGTGAGGTCAGAACTCCTCTCACCCATCTGCTGCCGGAGTGGTCGAAACAACTCGAATGGATGGCTCATATGGATCCTCCTCAATAGAACCCATGATCTCCGAAGGGTCTGAATCCATAGTATAACTTATCTCTCTTTTTAACATCTTCATAGCCTTCTGACCCATGCTTGCGACTGTAGTCTTTATAGGCATCGCTAAAAATGTAACACATCGTTAGGAATACGAATGCTTATATTGCATGATCTAAGATAAGAAGAGAGGATACCATCCTATATGTCTTGTAGCCTCCTATTTATAAGTGTGGTGCACAACACAACCATAAATAAGACTCTACTAGACATGGTATGTAGACAACCCTAGGACAAAACTGCTCTGATACTACTTTTGTCACGACCCAAACCGATGAGTCGTGATGGGTGCCTGACTCCTACATGTCAAACACCCCTAAGCATGCGTCTAAGATATGAACCTGAATAACATTTGCTACATTACGAAAATAACATATGTGAGAAACCTGCCATCAAAGCATATGTACGTATACAGACAAAATACAGTGGGCGAGCCGGTAAGGCTGCTATAGACAACTATACATCCATAACTGAAAGTCATCAAGGCCATATGCAACCCAACTAGACATACTGTCTACAGACCTCTAATGGAATCATAATTGTACAAAGACGGGACTAAGTCACGTCATACCTATATACATATATATATATATATAAATGTATCATGTATATATATATATACACAAACGTATCATACCAAACTCAAAAGCAGCTCTGGATCAAGTGGAGCACGCCAACTTTCGCTGATCAGGGATCCTAAGAAGGGGACTGTCAGCTTGCCTACCTGCACCTGCGGGCATGAAACGTAGGCCCCGTGAAATAGAGCATCAGTACAAAAAATATATTGAGTATGTAAGGCATGAAAATAAGTACGTAAAAGACATAGATGAAACATGGAATACAGAAATACCTTTAAATCTGAATAACTCTGTAATTTTTGAAACATTTATAATATCATGCACATGCGTATAAATGTCATGCCATGAATAGGTATGGTGTACATAATATCATCAAGCCACTGAGGGCATCCCATCATATCATCTCGGCCACTGTGGGCAATATCATCAACATATACTTGATCGGGTGGTGGTACGTATATAACGCCATAACCTCTTCCCATATCCCATATACATATACATACATATATACACGTATATAACACTGTTTGAATCATATTCCAGTCACTATGGATAACATCATCATCATATACCAACTGATCAGGTGGTGGTACGTATATAACATCGTAACCTTTTCCCATATCCCATAAACATATATTTACATATTTACGCGTATATAACGTCATCTGGTCATGGGTAAAAGCATATGTATAAATGAGTGAAATGCATGAAAAATAAATAATAATCTTGATATTCCTTCTGGATAAACTTTTCCAACTGCGTATTATTCTGAGACCCATGAACAGAAGATAATAATAATTCTCATGGGGAATCAAGAATATAGACATCCCTAATATCTCTATAAATAGTGTAGTTTATGGAAACTGTGTATTTGCTCGTTTCTTCAGTATAATTTGGACCATGCCAAAAAAAAGAAGGGAGGGCCTTAACATACCTGTTCCCGGAATGCTTGAACGGATTGAAGTTTCTACTTCTCTGAAATATGTTGAACGAAATTTGTGGTGCTTTTTTTGAAATTTCAGTCGAAATTCTTGAATTGACTAAGTAATTGAATTGTTTGGACGAAATATTTGTTGTTTTCCATGTTTTTGATTTCAAGCCAAGCTAATTTAGGCAAGAATGGACGAAAAGTTTTCTGTTTCTACGTTCTTTGTTTCAAACTAAAAGCAGATTATTGTTTTAGGTTCTTTTACCAAGAAATGACATCAAGCCTTCATGGATAATGGTTAAGGCTTACAAGATTCAAGTCTTATATAAGACTTTAAGTTTTGGACTCTTTAAACTTAAGACACATATACATATATTCATGAATCATTCTTCCCAATTAGTGGCCTTGTGCCACTTTTTTTTTTTTGTAATTGATGAAATTTTGTCCGCTTATTAGTTAACTGGGTAATGTTCTGTTACCCGGTAATTAATCAATTACCGGCATAATTTAAAAATTACCACAAATTACTTAAAATTCTATATATTTTTATAATACTTCATATATATTTTATATATTATACTACCATGGTCATATGGTACCTTGCATGGTACCAGTTCATAATTATCGGGTATTGTCGCTCAACCCGCATTTTATTCCAAATTGGCCACTTCCAACGAAACTCGTTTTCGTTAATCAGTGTACCCTTTTATCCTTCATAACACATATTTATCGCTTGTTATAAATAGCGTAAGTACGTTTACGTCAAGATATTCTCATCCCCGAGTCTACGTCGGTTAACTAAAAGCAAAATTTTAGCGTACGAAAACACGAGATGTAACACATTCATATGGGGACCACACACTCCTGCGTGCACTTCATTCATTATTCTTCCGGCCTCTTGGGCGTCCATACATCTTAAAAGGTTCAGATCTGGAGTCCTTTTGTACAAAACCTCGCCACTCAAGAAGAAACCACTAGTAAGCCTTCTAATGGTTCTCTTTTGGTCTCCACTAGCTTGCTCGGGATATTCTTTTGTTTTCAAAAATCTGTTGATATCATGATAACATGGCTGAACATTTGGTTCCACCTCAACCGTATTGCAATAACCATGTCTTTCTCGAATTTTGATTTCCAACGGGTTAATGTGGACATTGACTAGATATGGCAACATCAAGGCCAAAGTAGCGAGTGCATCGGATAACTCATTGTGAAACCAAGGAATGTACCTGAACTCAACTGACTTGAACCGCTTGCTAAGATCTTCCACATGTTGCCTATATAGAATAAGCTTGACATCCCAAGTTTCCCAGTTACCCTGAGCTTGTCGGATAATCAAGTCTGAATCTCTCATGATTAACAATTCTTCCACCTCTTGGTTGATTGCCATGTTCATACCCATAATGCAGGCTTCATACTCGACAGTGTTGTTGGTGCAGAAAAATCGAAGTCGGGCTGTGGCCGGATAGTGCTGACCAGTGGGTGAGATCAAGATTGGCCCTATCCCCACATATTTTGCGTTCACAGCTCCATCGAAGAACATTTTCCAAGCATTGGTGTCTTCTGAAATTACCTCAACTGAATTTACTTCCGCTAAGTGATCCACTAAAGCTTGAGCTTTCATTGTCGTGCGGGTGACATAGACTATGTCAAACTCGGTGAGCAGGATTTTCCATATTGCTAACCTCCCCATGGGCATCGGCTTTTGGAATATGTACTTCAAAGGATCCAACCTGGTGATGAGATAGGTGGTACAGGCCAACACGTAATGCCTAAGCTTCTGAGCGACCCATGTTAGGGCACAGCAAGTCCATTCCAAAAAAGTGTACTTGGCTTCGTAACTAGTGAATTTCTTGTTCAAATAGTATATTGCATGTTCTTTCTTCCCGGTCGCATCATGTTGCCCGAGAACGCACCCAAAGGAATTCTCCAACACTGTCAAATACAAAAACAAAAGCCTCCCAGGTTTGGGTGGGACTAAGACTGGCGGATTCGACAAATATTCTTTGATTTTGTCGAAGGCTTCTTGGCACTCATCTGTCCATTTAATCACTGCATCTTTCTTCAACAGTTTGAATATGGGCTCACATGTGGAAGTCAACTATGGACTTTATATTTGTTGGACCTAGCTCAATGCCCCTCTGATTGACTATAAATCCCAAGAGTTTCCCAGACGAAACTCCAAATGCGCATTTAGCTGGATTTAACTTCAAGTTATACTTATGCAAATGCTGAAAGAACTTTCTCATATCCCGAACATGGTCATCCTACGTTCTTGATTTAATGATTACATCGTCCACATACACCTCAATTTCTTGGTGCATCATGTCATCAAAGATGGCAGTCATAGATCTCATGAAATTTGCCCTGGCGTTCTTCAAACCAAAAGGCATGACCCTATAACAATAGGTGCCCTAGTGTGTGGTGAAAGCTATTTTTTCCGCGTCTTCTTCATCCATCAAGACTTGATGATATCCATCAAAACAATCCACGAAAGACTGTATCTCATGTTTGGCATAGTTGTCTACAAGGATGTGGATGTTTGGCAAAGGGAAGTTGTCTTTGGGACTTGCTTTGTTCAAATCCCGATAGTCAACACACACTGGGGTTTTCCCATCTTTCTTTGGCACTGGAACCACATTAGCCAACCACGTAATGTATTGGACCATCCGGATCACACCCGCTTTTAACTGTTTGGTGATCTCTTCTTTGATCTTGTCAGTGATACCAGTATTGAACTTCCTTTATTTTTGCAGGACAGGGGGATAATCTGGGTAAGTTGGCAATTTGTGTACCACTAAATCAACACTTAGGCCTGTAATATCATCATAGGACCAAGCAAATACATCTTTGAATTCTAACAAAAGTTGGATCAATGTGTCCCTAGTTCTTTCATCAGTGTGAATGCTTACCATGGTTTCTTGGACCTATTCTGAACTACCCAAGCTAACTGGCTCAGTTTCATTTAGTTTTGGCTTAGGCTTATTCTCAAATTGTTCCAGTTCTCGGTTTATTTCCCTAAAAGCCTCATCTTCATCGTATTTTGGTTCTTGATTCATTATTTCACAATGAGATAGCGCGTTAGGATATGGGCATGAAATCCACAAGCATGTCATGTTATTTAAGTCCGCATTATTAGAACTGAAAGAATAAATAAGAAAAATAACAAAATTAGAAAGAATAAAGAAAGAGATTCATAGACGATGAAATATTGATTTCATTTCATTGAATTTGAAGATAGAAGGGTTTACATTGGAATTTTAATGATAATAAACTTAAAGAAAACATTCGAGTTACACCCTAAAATAACTCGGAATGCAGAAAAGGTGGCAAGACTGGACTACTAGGATTCCCGCCTGACTAGGAACGGAGTAGCCTTCCAATTTTGCAGCTTGGCATCGGGCCCCATAAATTACACCTCAGCAGTGCTCGAGCCTTCACTCGGGTGGACCATGTGAGCTTCATAAAACATTTGCCTCATGTCTCCATATATGTCCTCAATTTCCTCGGCCGTGAGGGCCTCATCTTCTTTTGTTTCCATGTACTTTGGCTTGATGAATGTTTTGGAGAGATGCGGTACCGGCTAAGGCAACACCCAACCATTTCTCTTTCGTTCATTTGCCCATGTCACATCAGATTCTCTGGCGTGAAAACCCACACCAAAGAACTTCTCACTGGTAGCTAAAGTAATAGGCTCTGTGATACCTTACAAAGATACCCCGAGCCCCTTCCCAGGCTTATAACCATGCATGATCATTTCAGTGGTGACCATGATTGACGCATTTGGCAGAAAGGGTTGAGGACATGGGCTTCCTTCCACACATTGATCTGCGACCACAACCTCAAAAGCTTGATAGACTATGTGCTCGCTACCTTCCCTAGCCTCGAGACATGGGACTGATGGGTCCTGGTAAATTGATTGCTCGTCTTCTCCATTTACCACAATTTTCTGATCTTTGTGTTCAAACTTCACTATTTGGTGGAGAGTAGAAGGTACGGCCCCTGCAGTATGGATCCAAGGCCTTCCTAAGAGAAAAATATAAGAGGTGTCCATGTCCAAAACCTGAAACGTCACTTTGAAATCCATAGGACCGATAGTCAAGATCAAATCAATCTCCCATATTTTGTCTCTCTTGATGCCATCGAAAGCACGCACACAAACATTGTTAGGCCTGAT